GGCGTTTGAAAACAAGTCAAAAGTGATTTCCGATGATTTCAATCACGATTTCAGCGACTGTTGTGTCAAAGAAGGCATTCCTTCGATATGTAACGGATTTTGTAATTTTAAAGGATTACTAACGCAAACACCGAAAGCGCATATATTTGCCATTTGCTACAGTCATATGACACAACTCGTCAAATGTCTAACCGATGGCCGCAATCACATCCCGTGCTGTGAGCGCCAGAATATTCCGCGCGTGTGTCACGGCTCGTGTGCCGGCAAGTATACGCTGACGACCGCTCTTCAGCACGTGATTTGTTTGGATTACGCGACGCCCACTCTATCGTGCATTGCGGACGGCATACAGACATTGCCGCCCCCACCCCGCGAGGTCACCGCTGAACCTATCAGTACTTCGCAGGTTAGACCACATTTAAATTACCATATTTTCAATAATATAATTATGAACACTATGTCATTAATCAGTATTAAATATTTTGCCAATATATCAACTGAAATGTATTGTAAATAAAGTTTTGATTAATATATTCCCGACAAATGTTTTATATATTTATCAATAGATTAATGTCAAGTGGGAGAAGAATACAGAAAAAATGCAGTCATTGATAGACACATATGAACTGAATGTAACGGAATTGCATTCATTTGATCCAAAGGACTGGTCTCTCGCCAAGAAAAGCGAAATATCAAAACTGATGAAACAAATCCAAGGAATTAACACTAATCTAAAGACATTCAAAATCGATGGCAACGCCACTGAGTTTACGATAAATGACTTAAAAGAGTCGACAATGTATGAGATCTCCATTATGTCTATCAATAAAAATCCGTGTTCACAACATTGGTTACTATATGCTCAACAGTGAGTTAGTGTGCGATAAGTATTGTGGCTTTTTCTGTCATTTTTTGGTTAAAGAAGCGAACTTAAGTTGTTTTGCAGAAGAAATCGCGCAAATCTTCGCAAATGTTGTGCAGAAAACGGATTGAATTCAGAGTTTTGTTTAAATGTTTTGTGCGATTCATCCAAAGCCGAAGAGTCGACGGTCGGAGACATTAGCTTTTGTGCCCAATTCTCTAACATTACATTCAAGTGTTTGGCACCCGATTATGATATAAGGTTTGCATTTCATTTATACACAATATTATCTAAACTTTTTAATATTACTATTAATAAAATAATACCAATTTTGCCATTAATTCCAGTGATTGCTGCGAAGAGCGGGGAGTTTCACAATTTTGCAAACATTTTTGTACGGGAAAAGTGTCCAAAACTGATTTCCGTTACTTTGTTTGTCTTCATTATATTCCCGCCTATTCTTCGTGTATATTAGAGTCGAAAGGCCTTCTGCCGACTGAACCCCGATCTATAGTCATAGCGAGTAAACATCAGGACTGGGCTCTCGTCAAGTGGTCACCGCCTGTCAAGTTGTCTGAAACTATAACCAAATACAACATTCATATAAGAGAATTAGATCCAGAGATTGAAGAGGGCTATTATATAGAGCCGGCTATTCGTTCCCCTTATCTCATCGATGGACTAAAGCCGGGAATTAAATATGAAATATATTTAACAGCCATTAACAGACACGGCATAAGTCGGAGCTCTTCGAGAGTTATATTTAAGACCAAAGAACCGGAATCTAACGAAGACATTGAATTACAACAATCGGATGCCACGACTGGCTATAACGAGACCGCCTGCTGTCAAAGGGCTACCATTCCGGACATCTGTTTGCCGTTATGTAGCTATCATATGAAAATCAACGACGGCTTACAGTTGGGCGCCCTTTGCGCCGATCACCGGACCATAAGAACAATGGTTAGGTGTCTGACGGGAGGCAGAGATCACAGATCGTGTTGTGAGCGGCGAGGGGTAGAAGAGGGCTGTTTGGATGTCTGTATGGGTGTTATAAACGAGTCGCCGTTCGTTGTCGGCGCCAAATGCTCGCAATATAGCGGCCGTATATTGCAATGCATGGTTGAGGGCGCAGACACTTTGCCCGGTAATGTCGAACACATAGTTTAAACAATTTTAGTAAGAAATTTAATTTATAAAATTCATTAAACACGTGATTCAGGAATTCCGGAGAATTTTCACTCAACTTTGGTTACAAAAAATGCAATTCATTTGCAATGGAATGCATCGATAGATGACATCCGTCTCCGACAACACCAACACATCGCTTATCAATTGATTTATTCACCCATTCATACAGAGATACCTCCGCATCCATATCAAGACACATACTCTATACGTCTGAACGTAAGCGACACGAAGACTGTGTTATCGGATCTAAAGCCGGACACGCGATACAGCATTTATGTGTTGGCCGTCAACCCATACGGCTCTTCAATGCCTTCGTTAGTGCTTTTGATTAATACTAAATCAGAGGACGAAAAAGACTCGCAAGAAGTGATTCGTTCACAATTAGGTCCTCCGCATAGCATTCAAATTATACAACAGACCACTGATTCCCTATCATTCAAATGGTTACCGCCTTATTATATGCCGCCCGACGTCTCGCTTATATACGAGGTCTGAAACATTGTATTTAATTCTTATGTTATTTCTATTATAATAAGTGATTCAATGATTTGATTCAACTATTAATGCATTTTTGGTTTTATTAAAATCAGGTTTACTTTAAAAGAGTGTCTAATATATCGGGTGAACCGCAAATGGATTGGAATATAACCGATACTTACGTTAATCTCATTGATATAAATGGTTTGACATATAATACTTTGTATGCGATGGCAGTGAAAGCCAAGACAGACGTCGGTCTGAAGAGTGTTATGTCTGAGACAGTGCTCGCGTGGACCGATCCGTCCACTCCTCTCATACTTAATGCACCCAAATTAGAGCCGTCCGGACCTGTAGTCGAGGGGGAGATGCTTACCGTCCGGTGCGATACCATTGGGAATCCCATTCCTACCATAAGTCTCTATATTAATGGCATATTAACCAAAACTGAAGAAACCCGACATTTGATCTACAAATTAGATTATATTCAGAGAAATCTTACTTCAATCTCATGTCAGGCAACAAACGCGGAAACGCTTAATAATCAATCGATTTTTCCGGCACAAAGTCATATAGAAGTGAGAGTCAGATGTAAGTCATTAAAGAAATTTTAATTTTAATTTATAATTTTTCTAACGTGTGTTTTCATACAACAGTTGCGCCGACAATAAAAATAGACAATAAGTTGAATACAGGGGCCAAATATGGCACAACTCAACTGAAATGTGAATATTCTGGTAATCCTCAGCCAAAAGTCCAATTCTTTAGAGATCTAAGGAATAAAGCGGAACTTAAGAGTGGAGGGAATATACAAATCGAAGTAATACCTCATTCAACGGTAAAACAATTGATCAATACATCAAAAGTAGTAATAAAATTGACAACAAATGTATAAATGTACTATATTTCTAACTCATAGAAACCTTCGACTTGGATCTCAACGTTTACTCTCAAACGGGTCACTGAATCAGATGCCGGACAATATCTATGCATCGCTCAGAATGAATACGGAAGAGAAACCGCTATTATTAATCTCAAAGTGGATGAACACAAGACAACGTATCGCAATACCAGTGGTCAGTACTCTGTGTCTATATTTTCAATTTTAATTGTCATTTCAACTATTATTGATTGTCTCCTTCAATAGCGTGTTGTAAATCTGAAGGCGTGTCCGAAAACTGTTTGGCATTTTGTAAATTGGATATCGATTTCAACGCTGTCCTCAATAGACCCCAATGTTTCAGTGAATTAAACAAATTCATGTATTGCGCGGCCGGTAATTGCAATTGTATTTATTCAACCATTCATTGGTAACATGTTTTATAAATTGTTAAAACAGATGGCAGTGATCACAGAGAGTGCTGTCTTCGTCGAGATGTGGCCCGCGATTGTCTCCATTGGTGCGCCGGATATAAAGTAAGCAAACCGTCGCTGTGTTTGCTGTCATCGGTTCGCGATATCATCAGTTGCTTCAAAGAAGGCAATTCATTGTTGCCATCGATGCCAACCAATGTCCGATTCAGAGAGCTTTTATCCGATAACCGACTGATCATTAGTTGGGATAAACCGGATAAGAACGCAGAGGCCGTCCAGTGGTATAACGTGTATTGGAAACGCGTCGGCTCTAAGGACTTGGACTCCGACCGAACTGAACAACAATACTATGAATTACGTAATTTGGATCCATTGGAAACCTATGAATTCCTGGTCAAGAGTTCCAACTATTACGGCACCAGCGCTTTGGCCGATCCGTTGGTCATTAATTTGGCACAAATCGAGGCACAAACCGAAGCCGTCAATCAATCGATGCTTAAGATACTGATGGCATCGTTCATAACACTACTCATTATGATAACAATAGGCACTGTTGGCTATCAGATCTTCAAGAACTCCCATTTGTATTTGTTTAAGTCCAGATTACTGAAAGCCAAACCGCAAAGCAAGCGTTTGGTCCCTATACAGTTGCTGAGCGAGGTTGAAGTGCTGTTATAATTACCGTTAGAAGGGTTATCTCTGCGATTATTATTTGAGAGGCCCGCCGTTGAGATACGGCTCAATTAATTGCCCCACAATTTAATGTATAATACGTGTGAATAAAATCAAATTATTTAATTCTTTATACTATACCCTAATATATGATTGTTAGCACACTTTTGTATAAAACTAAACATTTCAAATATTACCTATAATTTAATTAAAACCCAAAATATATTTGCCAAAAGTACCAAGAAGATAATTCAAAGTATTGAAACTACTAGTACTGAAACAATAGATGTGTTGAAGTGATAAGAATTTGTAATTTTATGTACAGAAAATTAATGAATACAAATAAAATTGAATATTTTATGCCATATACTAGACAATTAAAGGCACTACAATGTTACCTAAAATAAACTTAAAATGATTTAAACAACAGTTAACTTAATTTAACAATAAATTATTGATGTTATTATCTATATTACAATTTTATAGAAACCTATTTGTACCCTAAAATATATGTGAGATTTATGTAATTATGCGCTTTTAATGGAAATGTGTTTTCAATTAATAGTAAATAAAATTGAAAATTAAACATAAAGACAATGACAACAAATAATTGGGGAAAACAATTGCAAAAATATAATAAGCATTTGAGTTGAACACAAAAATAAAATCATTTACTTTTAGTCGTATATAAATACGTTTATTAACTTTTAATTTTTAATTAAAGTCTGGATTATTACTAAGTTTATTTAACCGTTGCTAACATTACTAACCAATTGATTAATTTATTGATTAACCTTTTTATAGTAAGTTAAGTAACGTAACCATAGGTTTGCTTGATTTTGTTAAGCAGAGCATCGCATGTCTTCTTGGCGTCGCCTAAAAGCATAGATGTGTTTGGATTGAAAAATATCGGGTTATCCACAGCGGCGTAACCGACGCCCAGACTTCTCTTCATCACAATCACCTAATCATAAGTAATAACATTAGAAATGTATTTATATTTAGAAACATTGTTTATATAGCATCAAAATAGGTGTCAAATAATTACTTGTTTAGATTTCCACACTTTAAGGACAGGCATTCCGGCGATTATAGAGTTCGGGTCGTCTTCAGCGGCTGAGTTGACCGTATCGTTGGCGCCGATCACAAGAACCAAATCCGTGTCATTAAAATCGTCGTTAATTTCGTCCATTTCGAGCACCACATCGTA